CAAAAACGTTTTGAGCAAGCAGCCTAACTAGATGCAGCTGAGAAGTCCTGCTCCCACAGAAAGAAAACATGATTTCAACTACACCAACAGAAATTGAACAGATCCTTGGAGAGAAAATGCCAAATGTGGTTGGAGAAAAGAAGCAGATGCCGAGGCTGTAAAGGGAGAAAACTGGAAACACGGCATGGAGTACCTGAACACCAAGACTGGTTCCCAGCCCCGGACAGTGCCTGGGAAAGGGGACCTCTCCCTAAAGGAGCCCCATGGCCCAAAAGACCCGACAACAACATCAATAACAACAAAATGGTGGGCACAGTGCTAGTGATTGTAGGTGTCTCCTGAAAGGCCCAGGAGCAGGTCTAGTGAGAGGGTTAACTGTTTTCCCCTCACACCTCGCAACAGAACGGCAAGCACAAGGTTGCACAAAGAAACCACGCAACTAACAGCCTACCTACTGCCCATTGCTTTCAAGCGCCATCTACTGGAACACAGACAAAACTACAAGAGCAAAAAACTACCGGCTGTGAAACCGAAAGGGCAAGAATTCAACAACCAACACCCTGTGCAGAGACTTGGTCCTCTAAAAGCTTCCAGAAACAAAGCCAACTAACCATACTCAATTTACATCACAGTTAAAAAATGTCAGCCTCCCAAGATGACGAAGAATAAATGCAAGAACTCTGACAATTCAAAAAGCCAGAGTGTCCCCTTACATTTAAATGAGTGCAATGGCTCCCCGGTAATGTCTCTTAACCAGTCTGAAATAAACGAAATGACAGACAAGGAATTCAGAATCTGGATGGCAAGGACGCTCTTCAAGATTCAGTATAAAGCTGAAACCCAGTCTAAGAAAACCAAGTAATCCAGTGAAATGATTCAAGAACTGAAAGACAAAATAGCCATTTTAAACCAATCCCAGACTAGACTTCTTGAGTATTAATAGCAGAATAAACCAAGCTGAGAAATAAATCTCAGAGCTTGAAAACCAGTTCTTCAAATGAACTTAGTCAAAAACAAACAAATAAATAAATAAATAAAGAGAAAAAAAGAAACTAAGAAAAATGAACAAAACCTCTGAGAAACATGGAATTATGTGAAGAGACTCAATCAATGATTAATCGGCATACCTGAGATAAGAGAGGGAATAAACATCTTGGAAAATATATTTGAAGTCATAGTCTATGAAAGTTATCCTTCTCTCACTAGAGAGGTTTACATGCAAACCCAAGAAATACAGAGAACTCCAGACAGATACTATACAAGACAAGCATCCTCAAGGCACATAGTGATCAGGTTCACCAAGGTCAGTGCCAAAGAAAAAAAATTAAAGGCAGCTAGAAAGAAGGAGCGGGTCATGTACAGAGGGAACCCCATCAGGCTAGCAGTAGCCCTCTCAGTAGAAAACTTGCAACACAGAAGAGATTGGGGGCATATTTTGAACATCTCCAAGGAAAAAAAAAATCAACCAATAATTTTATATTTTGACAAACTACACTTCCTAAGTGAAGGAGAAATAAAATTCTTTGCATTCAAGCAAATGTTGGGAGAGTCCTTTTCAACCAGATCAGCATTACAAGATGCCCTTAAGGGAGTGCAAAATGTGGATTCGAAAGAACAATACCTGTTACCACCAAAGCACACTTCAACACATAGCACACAGACACTATAAAGCAACTACATCATCAAGTCTACATAACGGCCAGCTAAGAAAATGTTGAGATTATCAAAATCAAATATATCAACAGTAGCCTCTTGAATGTAAAAGGGCCGGATATCCCACTTAAAAGACAAAGCATGGAAGGCCGGATTAAAAGAACTCAATCATCTGTTTTCCTCGTGAGACCTATCTCACATACAAAAAACACGTAAAGGCTCAATGTAAAAAGGCAGAGTAATATCTGCCATGCAAATGCAAAATTAAAAGAGCAGGAGTCACTGTTCTTATATCAGATAAAATAGGCTTTAAACCAATAAAAATTAAGAAGAGTAAAGAAGGACATTGCATAATGATAAGGAGTACAATCCAACAAGAAGCCTTAACTATCCTAAATATATACAGACCCAACATTAGAGCACCCAGTTTCATATAACAAGTTCTTCTTGGCCTACAAAAAGATTTACACAAGCACACAATAGTAGTGAAGGACTTCAACATCCCACTGACAGCAGTAGGCAGATCATCAAATTAGGAAATGGTAAACTCTGCACTTAAACTAGTCACTTGACTAATTGACCTAGTAGACATCTGCAGAACATTCATCCAACAATAAAAAATATATACATTCTTCCCATCTGCACATAAAATACATCCTAAGATTGACCACATGCTCAGTCATAAAGAAATCCTTAATAAATTCAAAAATTTTGAAATCATAGCAGCATACTTTCAGATCACAGTGCAATAAAAATAGAAATCAAAGTCAAGAAGACCTCTCAAAACAACATGCACACCTGAAAATAAAACAACTTACTCTTGAATAACATCAAAATTATGGCAGAAATTTAACAAAAATTAAATTAATAAAAACAGGAACACAGTTTATCAAAATCTTTGGGATGCAGTCAAATCAGTATTAAGAACAAAATGTATAGCCCTAAATGTCTTCATCAAAATGTTAGAAATGTCTCAAATTAACAATCTAACTTTTCACCTGAAGGAACTAGAAAGGAAAGAACAAACCAACCTAAAATCCAGCAGAAAATTAAAAAAAAAAAAAAAGAAAACTAAAATTAGAGAATAACTTAATCAATTTGAGTTGCAAAAATCTATACAAAATCTCAGTTAAACCAAGAATTGGATCTTCAAATAATAGATAAGATTGATAGACCCTTTCCTAGGTTAACAAAAAGACAGATACCAGACATGCAAAGAAGAACTAATCCTGCTGAAACTATCTCAAAAATTTGAGAAGGAAGAGCTCCTTTTAAACTTATTCTATAAAATGAGCAACAGACCTATATCATAATCTGACAGAGACATGCACACACAAAAGAAATCTCAGACCAGTATTCATTGTGAACATAGATGCAAAAATGCTCAACAAAATAATACCACACCAAATCCAGCAGCACAGCGGCACCTCAGAAAGTTAATACACCATAATCAAGTAAGCATTATTCCTGGGATGAAAGGATGATTCAACCTATGCAAATTATAAATGTGCTTTAGCACATAAACAGAATTTAAAGCAAAGACAATATGATCATTTCAATAAAATTCAATATCTGTTCATGATTAAAAAAAAAAAAGAAAAAAACCTCAACAGATTAGGCATCAAGGGAATATACCTCAAAATAATAAAAGCCATCTCTGACAAACCCACAGCCAACATTATATGAGTGACAAAAGGCTGGAAGAATTCTCCTTGAGAAGTGGAGCAAGACAAAGATATCTACTCACATTAGGCTATGCCAAAAGGTTCCTAAAACTGATCAGCTACTTCTGTAAAGGTTCAGGATACAAAATCAATATACAAAAAAATCAGTAGCATTTTTACTGACAACACGTAGGCTGAGAGTGAAATAAAAAATGGAAGTTCCCTTATAGTAGGCTCAGAGAAAAAGGAATACCTAGGAATACAGCTAACCAAGAAGGTGAAAGATTACCATCAGAATAACTACAAAACACTACTTAAAAAAATCAGAGATGACAGAAACAAAACAAAACAAAATTATATGCTCATGGACTGGAAGAATCAATATCATTAAAATGTTAACATGACACAGAGTAATTTACAAATTCAATGCTATTTCTATCAAATGATCAATGTCATTCTCCACAGAATTAAGAAAACCTTTTCTAACACTCAGACAGAACCAAAAAAGACCTTAAATAGCCAAAGATCTTAAGCAAAAGAACAAAGCTGGACACATCAAACTACCCGACTTCAAAAGATACTACAAAGCTACAGTAATGTAAATAGCATGGTACTGGTACAAAATCAGACACATAGATTAATGGAAAAAAAAGAAACAGAAAATTTAGAAATAAAATGAATCACCTACTTCCATTGATTTTCAACAAGGCTGATAAAAACAAGCAATGGGAAAAACGACTCTTTATTCAGGAAATGGTGCTGAGATAACTGACTAGCCACAGGCAGATAAAGCTGGACTCCTGCCTTTCACCATATACAAAAGTTAACTCAAAATGAGTTAAATATTTAAATGTAGGACCTCAAACTACAAAAGTCCTGGAAGACAACCTAGGCAATACTCTTCTTAACATTGGCTTTGGCAAAGAATTTTTGGCCAAGTCCCCAAAAGCAGTTGCAAAAATAACAAAAACAGATATATGAGACCTAATTAAAGTAAAGAACTTGTACACAGCAAAAGAAACTATCAACAGAGTAAACAGATAACACACAGAATGGGAGAAAACATTCACAAACTATGCATTCTACAATGGCCTAATATCTAGAATCTATAGAGAACTTTTAAAAAATCATCAAGAAATATCAAGGGACTCCATTAAAAACTGGCAATGGCATTGAACAGGCACTTCTCAAAAGATGACATATAAGCAACAAAAACTCATGAAAAATGCTCAGCATCACTAATAATCAGAGAAATGCAAATGAAAACCAAATTGAGACAACATCTCACACCAGTCTGAATGTGTATTAAAAAGTCAAAAAACAATAGATACTGGTGAGTCTGCAGAGAAACGGGAACACTTATGCATTCCTGGTGGAAATGTAAATTAGTAGAGCCACCGTGGAAAACACTTTGGAGATTTCTCAAACATCTCAATACAGAGTTACCCTTCAATGCAACAATTCAATTACTGGCTATATACGCAAAGGAAAATAAATCATTCTACCTGAAAGGCATATGCACTCTTATGTTCATTGGTGTGCTATTCACAATAGCAAAGACATAGAATCAACCCAGATGACAATCAATGGTACCTTATATAAAGAAAATGTGGTGTATATACACCATGGAATACTATGCAACCATAAAAAAGTAATAAAATCATTTTTTTTTCTTTTTTGCAGCAACATAGATGCAGTTAGAGGCCATAACCATAAGGGAGCTAACACAAGAAGAAACAACAAAATTGCACATGTTTTCATGTGTAAGTGGGACCTTAACATTGAGCACTGGAACATGAATGTGAAGATGAGAAAAACAGACACTGTGGACTCCTACAGGTAGGTGGTAAGGAGTGGAATGTTGGTTGAAAAACTACCTATTCAACGTTAGGCTCACTACCTGGGTCCAATATTGCCATGTAACAATCCTACACATGTAACCCCTGTATCTCCCTGTATCTTAAATAAAAAGTTGAAATTTGGAAAAGAAACTGCCTTCACAGTATCCCTTATGTGTTGGTATATTGTGTTTTCAAGTTTCATTTGTCTCAAGATATTTCATGATTTTCCTTTAGTTTCTTTTTTGATCCATTGCTTATTCATATGTGCATTGTTTGGTTTCCACATATTTGTGTATTTTCCAATTGTCCTGTTGTTATTAATTTCTAGATTCATTTTATTCTGATTGAAAAAAGAGGTTTGCTATTATTACAATCTTCTTAAGTTTGTTAACACTTGGTTTGTGGTATAACATGTAACTTATCCTGGAGAATGTTCCAGGTGTGCTTGAAAAGGATGTGTATTCTGCAAAATTAACATGCAAAAATTGCTAGCATTACTGTACACCAACAATAGGCAAGCAGAGAGCCAAATCATGAATGAACTCCCATTCACAATTTTTACACAAAGACTGAAATACCTAGAAACACGGCTAACAAGGGAAATTAAGGACCTCTTCAATGAGAACCACAAACTACTGCTCAAAGGAATCAGAGAGAACACAGAAAAATAGAAAACGTTCCATTCTCATGGACAGGAAGAATCAATTTCATAAAAATGGTCATACTGCCCAAAGTAATTTCTAGATTCAATGTTATTCCCATTAAACTACCATTGACAGACTTCACAGAAATAAAAAAAAAAAAAAAAAAAAAGACTTTAAAGTTCATGGGGAACCAAAAAGGAGCCCGAATAGCCAAGACAATCCTAAGCAAAAAGAACAAAGCTGGAGACGTCATGCCACCTGACTTTAAACTATACTACAAGACTACAGTAACCAAAACCACATGGTACTGGTACAAGGACAGACACACAGACCAATGTAACAGAATAAAGAATGCAGAAATAAGACCACACACTTACAACCAACCAATCTTCAACAAACCTGACAAAAATTAGCAATGGGGAAAGGATTCCTTATTTAATAAATGATGCTGAAAGAACTGGCTAGCCATAGGCAGAAAATTGAAACTAGACCCCTTCCTCACACGATATGCAAAACTTAACTCAAGATGGATTAAAGACTTAAATGTAAAATCTGGAACTATAAAAACCCTAGAAGAAAATCTAGATAATACCATTCAGGACATAGGCATGGGCAAAGTTTTAATGATGAAAACACCAAAAGCAATCGCAACAAAAGCAAAAGCTGACAAAAGGGATCTAAATAAACTAAAGAGCTTCTGCACAGCAAAAGAAACTATCATCAGACTGAACAGATAACATACAGAATGGGAGAAATTTTATTCAATCTCTCCATCTAGCAAAGGTCTAATATCCAGAGTCTACAAGGAACGTAAGCAAATTTACAAGAAAAGAAAAAACCATTAAAACGTGGTTAAAGGACATGAACAGACACTTCTCAAAGGAAGATATACATGCAGTCAACAGACATATGTAAAAATGCTGAACATCACTGATCATCAGAGAAATGCAAATAAAAACCACAATGAGATAGCATGTCACAACAGTCAGAATGACTATTATTAAAAAGTCAAAAAACAACAGATGCTGTCAAGGTTGCGGAGAAAAAGGAACACTTTTACACTGTTGGTGGGAGCGTAAAGTAGTTCAACCATCATGGAAGACAGTGTGAGAATTCCTCAAAAGACCTCCAGGGAGAAATAGCATTTGACACATCAATCCCATTACTGGGTATATACCCAAAGGAATATAAATAATTCTATTATAAAGATACATGTAATGTGTAAGTTCATTACAGCACTACTCAAAATAACAAAGATATGGAATCTACCTAAATGCCCACCCGTGATAGACTGGAGAAAGAAAAAGTGGTACATATACACCATGGGATACTATGCAGCCATAAAAAGGAATGAGATCATGTCCTTTACAAGGACATGGGTGGAGCTGGAAGCAATTATGCTCAGCAAACTAATGCAGGAACAGAGAACCAAACAACACATGTTCTCACTTATAAGTGGGAGCTGAATGATGAGAACACATTTACACATGGAGGGAACAACACACACTGGGACCTGTCAGGATGGTGGGAGCAGAGGGAGCATCAGGAAGAATAGCTAAGGGACACTGGGCTTAATACCTAGGTGATGAGGTGATCTGTGGAGCAAACCACCATGGCACACATTTACCTATGTAACAAACCTGCACATCCTGCACACGTGAACTTAAAATAAAAGTTGAAGAGAAAAAATAAAAAAAGAAGAAAAGAATGTGTATTCTGTGACTGTTGGTTGCAGTGTTCTGCATATATCTAAGTTCATCTGTTCTATAATGTTGTTCAAGTTTGTTACTTCCTCATCAATTTTCTGTCTGTGTGTCCTATGCATTGTTAAAAGTGCAGTATTAAAATCTCCTATGATTATTACATTGCTGTATATTTTTTCCTTTCAGTTATTCACTGTTTACTTTATATATTTATGTTCTCTGGTGTTTGGTGTGTGTTTATAATTGTTATATCTCCTTGGTGAATAGGTTCTTTAATTTTATATCATATACAAAAATCAACTTAAAATAGATTAAGGATTTAAGTATAAGACCTGAAACTGTTCAACTCTTAAACAAAAGCATAGATAAAAACTTGCTAACCTTAACCTGGGCAATGATTGTTTTTGATATGTCACTAAAATCAAAGGCAACAAAAGCAAAAAGATACAAGTGGTATTACATCAAACTGGAGAGCCTCTACACAGCAGAGAAAACAATCAACAAAATAAAATACAGCCTATCAAAAGGGAGAAAATATTTATAAACCCTATATCTGTTACTGTGTTAGTATAAAAACATATAATAAATTCCTGCAACTCAATAGCACAAATCAAATAACACAATTTAAAAAATCATCAAAGGACTTGAATAGACACTTCTCCAATGAATACATACAAGTAGCCAACAAGTATATGAAAAGGTGTTCAACGTCACTAACCTGAGAAATGCAAATCAAACCATGGTGAGATGTCACTTCACAGTAGTTAGGATGGCTACTATGAAAAAGACAGGAGATAACAAGTTATGAAGAAAATGTTAAATAATTGGACCCCTTGTACTCTGTTGGTGGGAATGTAAAATGGTGCAGCTGCTATGGAAAATAGTATGGAGGTTCTGCAAAAGATTAAAAATAGACCTACTATATGACCCAGCAATTCCACTGCTGGGCATATACCCTGCAAAATAGAAATCAAAATCCTGAAGAGAAAAATTTGTACTCCCATGTTCATTACAACATCATTCATGGTAGCCAATATACAGAAACAATCCAAGTAGCCATTGACTGATGAATAGTAAAACAAATGTGGTATATACACAATAGAATGTTATTCAAACTTCACAAAGGAGAATATCATGCTGTATACACAGCATAGATAATCATAAAGGATATTATGCTAAGGGAAATAAGACAGTTACAGAAAGATAAACACTGCACGATTCCCCTAGTATATCTGAAATATTAAAAATTAAAGAAGCAGAGAATAGAATGGTGATTCTGAGGGGCTAGTGGCATGAAAAATTAGAGGTTGTTGTTTACCAGGTCTAAAATTTTTGTTATGCAGGATAAATAATTCCTAGAGATTTGCTGCACAACCCAGTACCAGTAGTTACCAGTATTGTATTGTACAATTAAAAATTTGTTGAATGGAAATTCTTATGTTAAGTGGACTTACCACAATAAAAATATATGGTACAAATATTGAACTCTGTGTAATAAATTTGTTCTGTGTAGATTTATGGGTTAGAAATTTCAAAATATTTTAATGTGTATTGAAATTATGAGTATTTTGTTGATAATTGAAACCAATTTTTCTATTCTTAGAGAAGTGAATTACAAATGTGGTAAAGGAAATGCGAAAATGAGCCTGGTGGTGTTGGGCTAAAATTATGGATGTTAGTATGAACAAACAAGTAGTTTATGTTCTCTATCTATCTATCTATCTATCTATCTATCTATCTATCTATCATCTGTAGATATTATGCACATGCTTCTATGTGTTTTTGTGTGTATGTGTGTAAAATTACCTATATTTTTACTTCTATATCTATATATTATTATATATAATCTTCTGTGTTTGCATTCTTGCTCCCTGAGAGGAGTAAGTAGAAGCATTGACACCTCAATTGCAATAAGCACATCTAGCACAAAGATCTTGGCTGCTTCCATTTAGTGTTATCTACTAAATGGAACCAGAGCTCCTTGGAGAAATGGCTAACACTATGTTTAGTACAGAGAAAATACAAAATGAACCAGACATATATTTTTGTGCCATTAATTAAGGAAATTTCAAAGACTGATAAGTACACACAAACCACACAGAAGACAGTTTGAATAGAATTTCCCTCACCAAATCAAGGACATATCTGTGTATTCATACTTAGATAAATGAATAAATAAGTACTGGAAACATCAAAGGTCATTTTTACAATATAATTGCAAGTAAATGTAGAAGAAAATGTTGACTGATATGAAAAAAAAATCACAAGTTGGCCACCACCATAAAGATATTTATTTCTGATGAAATCATCAAAAAATACTAGAATTATTGGGTGAAAGTATGGTGAGACTTGAGATACTTACATATTCTCACATTATATCTCCCTAAAAGTATTTACTAATTACAAAGGAAAACACAGTAACTTGGCAGTGGACAAATCTAGCAGATATCACCTTAGCCAAATGATCAAATTTAATATCAAGATTTAATGGTACAAGTAGATATTCTTCACTTCCTGTTACGACATGCCGAGAAAAACATAGTAACAATTGTGTGTTAATCCTTCCTAAGCTATACAATCTCAAGTGAATTAATAGGAAACAAACCAGCAAAAATCACAAACTGAAGAACACTCTACAAAATACTGGCCTTTACATTTTAAGTATTAAAGTAATAAAAAACAAATGTGCAACAACCAATCCACATCAAGAGAGACTAAAGAGACATTACAACTAAATGTGGTATGTGATAATATATCGGATCCTGGACCAGAAAAAAGTAACATATTTATTTGGTTTTAAATG